GTATTTGGTCTTTGCGGTTACTGTCGCCACTATTCCACCTCTAGTAGGAACAATGATTTAGGAACCAAAAACGGAGCGCAGCTTTTAAAGGTCTTAAATATTCAGACGTCTGGTTCCCATCACCACCACTGTGAACAATTCTGATACGGTACATTTCTCAAAAACGGGGGTTTTGCATCAGACCACTCTGAATGACTCTGTTTACATATTAATGATTTAGTTATGCTGGTCTTTTGAAAAGTCAGTGGAATTTCTCTTCAAATGGAGACAGTATGTGAACAAACAATAGGACTCATTTTACCCATTATTTTTGTGTTTCACTGAAAGAGGACACAGATGGTGAGGATTCTATGATCTGTTTTACAGAAGCAAACTATTTACACATACAGCTACAGAAATGTTTTGACAAGTTTGCGTAGGGAAACTTATGCATGCTGTTTTGAAGCTGGTCTGTATTTCATTAGGTCTTGGTGTCCTGGTGTTCCTCCTTCAGACAGTCATTAACTCTGAGTCAGTGTTTGTCTAATGCACTCCATTTCATGTCTTCCAGGAACTCCCTAACTCCTGCTGCAAAACAGAAGAGAGAACTTTCACATCGTTATTCCTTTAGATTTGTTTACCTCAGCTGAGGAGAGATGAGTTTACTTGGCAACAAGGAGTCCATGATGGACCATTCAACTCACCTGCAGGTTGTTTAGGTTATCACAGACCCTGGGTGTGGCCTCATTCAGAGGAAGCAGCAGTCCCACACTGACAGCTTTCTGAACCGTAGGCTGTCAAGCAATGAGCAGACAAACATCCTTAGCCCTAAAGACGCAAGGCATGGAAGAAGGAGGGCTTGGATTTGGAAATTAAAGGACCCTTATTATGGAAAAACAACATTTCCCTCTTTTTTCAATATAGAGTATGATATACATGTATACAAACACTGTTAATATTTGAAAACATTCACTCTCCAGCCCATTAACACATATGGAAAATAAGCTGCCTGTTTTGAAATGATGGTTTTTGTGATGTCACTAACATCAATGCATGTTCATACATCCACTGCAGTAGTTTGGCTCCGCCCATTCACACTAAAGTTGAAATGCGTTTCTACCAGCAGCAAACTGAACCAGGATTTACTTTGAAACAATTCAGCCGATACACTGCAAAACATATGGTCATTAATATTGTTTAGATTTGTTTTAGCTTATCTTTTACTTTATTTACATTTACAAGAATAAGACTTATTTAACGTATGGAAAAAATGCATTTATTGTAGAGAGTACAGCAGAATACAGCTACATCACTCTAATCTTGTGACTGTAGGTGACTGTAGAGTCAGTGGAAATAGCTGTGATTTTATTGTTATTTACTGTTAATATGATACATTAAATTACACTGAAAACTGAAAAATAACAGAGATGTTAATGTCTACCTGTACAACAACCACAACAACAAAAGTAAACGCTACTTGATCTCTGCTTATATATGATTGATTGGTCTATCAATCTGAATTTAATCAATGTTGAAACAGGACAATTGTGCAGACGTTACAGTTCAGGCATGCTGCTAGATGAGATGAGTATGCTCTGATGTTGCTTTCCCTAGTTTAGTGGACCATCGCACAATGCAATCCCACCAGCAGCAAACTGAACCAGGACTTACTTGGATGTGCACTTCGAATTTTGGTGAATCACAGTTCAGTTGTTTGGGGAGTATGAGTGGTTTATTTGGACACCAGAGTATGAGTAGAGTGAAAGAAAAAAAGAAAAAGTTTGATTGGTCCACCCCAAACTAACTAGATGTAAAAGCACCCTCAGTCTATGTTGTTGAGTAATACTGGTATATTTTGTTATACCACAATTAACAGTCATTTTTAATAAAACCACCAATTTCAAACCACCCATTTCATAAAACGTCTGCTCTACTATTTTGCATAATTTAAGCAAATTACATTATTTATAAGCAACATGTTCCTTCTACAAGAATTTTGAAAAGCTTTTACCATGACACTTGTAATATCATGATAGTCATGCCTGTCATTAAACTAAAAAAGCAATTTAATGTGAAATGACACAGTGCTAAAAACAAGCTGGACACATTAACACAAGGCAAGGTCAGGAAGGGGAATTCGCAGTGTCAGTCGGTGTTAATTTGGCCTGTGAGGTTTGTGCCCAATAAGATTTTAAAGGATAATCATGTGTTGTTTTCTCATAAGCATGTAGTTATCACTGGACAAAGCAAATCAGTAACTCTATGCTTGAACAATATTGGCAATCATCTGTATATTAAATTATGAAAGTGGTACATTAAATAAATATTTCTTCCTTGGTGCTTAAGCATTAAGAAGATGCAGTAATCCTTTTAGGCCTCAAACTTCCAGCATCTCTATTGTACAAATGGCATAATAGGTACAGAAAATATACAGTGAATAATACAAAGCATGCAAAAAAGGATATTTAAAGTGTAGAAGCAGATGATTGAATGCAGCTACCATTTTAGATCTAGCTTAAAGGGGAGTTCCACCAAGTTTTTAAAAATGTAATAAAAATTAAATCTTAAGATGTAAACAATGTCATTCCGAGTGGTTTAATGTGAAATGTTTTGTTTGCCTTCTGAGTCAAAATTGCTTGTAGTGGTGGTGATAGGAACCAAACGTGTGTGTGACGAAGTGTTTAATGCTTCCAAAAGCTCCCTCACAGAAAGCTACTACAGGAAACAGTTATGAACACATTACCTGACACCTGAGACATTGTTTTATGAAGGTTTTGAGTTTGGTCTAAAACATATTTTTATAATTTTTATATTTAATACTTCACAGCACTGAAGGACATGTAGGGCTTTGTAAGGAAAAAGGTTGACAATTGCAATTTCAGAAGATACATGTGGGCTCACTGATTGACGTGGCTATATTTGTGTTGTAGATATTGTGACATCTGGTTCCTATCACCACCACTGCAAAGAAATCTGAGCCTGTTATTTTCTCTACAGTGAACCATCTCACATCAAGCAATTCTGAATGACTTTACATTTTAGCAGTTGAATTCATTAACAGTAATAGCAGCAAAGTGAATAACTAATATAATAGAACTAATATAATGACTAAGTATAAGCTACACTTTACATATTGTTAAGTTACAATCCATTTTCTATGGCTGCGAAAATTTTATGAGTACTTTAAAACAGTGTCTGTAGTGTTCCATGTGATAATGGATGAAAAGCTGGATGGAGGCCAAGTTATAATAACCACACTGAAAACTACAGTCAAGATGTTAGCTTTGTTAAAACAGTACACCATCTGGTAAGCACTTCACATCATGGACAGTCATGCTCAACAACTTCCTCACTGGTGTCTTATAATGTGGCTGGATAGCAAAGAAAAGAAAAGAAGAAAAGTGTTTATTCTCACCACAGAACCAGATAGATAAAATTAGAAAATCAAGGTGTTTTGTTTGCTTTCCTGCCCCCCCCCAACCCCGACTCATATTGACTGCGTCATAAAGCAACATAAAAAGGCCTAAGAAAGAGAAAAGATATCCTGTCACCCAGATCTGCTCCCTCTTGAGAAAGCCCTGAGCAAAAAAAACTTTCATAGCACACAGTGCACCAAAAATAAACAGTAGATGTCATATGCAGAAATTTAATAATCGTAGGCTTCTACAGTCGCATTTCTTAACAAAGCTAATATGCATGGGTAGATATACCACTGAGGAATATGTGTCTACATCTATATTTAATACTTAATACTAACAGATGCCTTTTTGTTTTGCATTCATTGTTATGTGCAGCATACAATAAATACCATATAGTGCACCCCAAAGGTCTTTCAATTTTGGAGAGTATAAAGTCTTTGAGTTACATTAAACTCGCAAATGCTTTATGCATCTTGCCAGGTTCAGAAACAATGGTCAACACTACAATATAAAATACATACTGGTTAGGTGTGAAGGTCATGTAATATTTCACAAAAAAATGAAAGGCCTATTTACAAAGTAAGCCCTTTTGTCCCAAGTCGCAAGGCAGGATACCACAACTTTTGTCTCGCTGCTTAAAACTCATGCTCTAATTATACCCTGGATTCTTTACAGAGTAATCTCTATCTACAGATCTGTTTGAGGCTGCAAACATTAACTTAAAGCAACAGTTATTTCAGCCAAAATTCAAATTTACACAATTTCTTCCTTATGACAAATGTAGCCACTCAGTCAAGGTGTTATTTGCATCCAAAGTTTGTTTCTTTAGTTCTGAACTTGAGATATGAGGCTATTGCAGTTAATAAGTAATGTAAGCCAACAGTTTAGCATCAGCCTAAAAGGCCTAGATCATCTCACACTCGACATGCTTAAATGTAAAAACATAGACAAAAGAACAGACAATATTCATTCTTAATGTTACAGTTTGGTTAAAAATCTTTCTTAATCAATTTTTCACTTAGCCCAGGTGCAGTCAATCAGCCATGGCATGTTTGGTGATCAAATTTTACTTGTAGCACTGGAGCTACAAGGATTACAAACATTACAAGTCAATAGTCACCGAAATCTTTTCTGTAAACACACCCCAAAACAACCTGCTTACACCAAATCCAGCTCTTCATTAAAGTCACAGTATGATTTACTGTGAGCTATGAAAATGAACAAAACTTCACTGTGTAGCTGAACACTGTGGGCAGCCATTTTAGACTACAGGTGTTGTGTGGAATTCCCCATAGAATCTTGCTTGCACCTCACACAGACATATAGACTCTATATCACATTTGCAATTTCTGTTCTATTTAAAAATATGTATCTTCAGTTAAAAAAATCAAGATTAAGAGTTATTTATAAAAAGAAACAACAGAAATTGCAAACGTAATGTCTGATTTATGAACACAAAGGGGAATCAAATTCAGCACTCGTTGTCTAAAATGGCTGCTTACAGTGTTTAGCCACACAGTGAAGTTTCCTTCATTTTTTTAGTTCACAGTAACTCACACTGTGTCCTAAACAATATCAACAAGTCTACAGGAACCTTAATGGAGACCTGAATGTGGTTTGAGCAGGTTAAGAGAAGATTTGGGGATATATAATTGAGTGACTACAGTGTTTGTTAGCAACGTTAGCCGCGCTCGTGCTTAAAAAAAAGAAGCAAAATCTGGACTCCAAACATGTTTTAACAGATTGACTACATCTTAAGTGGAAAATTGCGTAGATTTTTTTGCCAAACTAGTCCATTAGTGACAGCTGCTACTGCTATTTTTAGCTATGTGGTTGACTTTTAGATGAAGTCCATACTTTAGATAACAGTATGTCATACAGTGTCAGAAACCACACAAACAGTGTTATTATCAAGTTGGTTGGGATTACTTGCCGTATATTAAGGCACACTTTGGACACTACACTTGTCTTGGCTGATCAAGCACACTGAAAGTAAAGGGAAAATGGTTTGCAATAAAATTTCAGCCAAACTGTCTCTTTAAAGTACTTTACAAAGGCATTATGGGGTTTAAAGTTCTACTCTTCACACCTGGGTGTGGCAGCATCTTCCACAGCTCCTCTATTTCCTTGTATGAACTCTTGCTCTTCGTCTACGCCACATCCACCCTCCTTCTTCGCTGATTTCCTCCGCGGTGCCTCTAGTTCTACGACTGAGTTACCTGGCAGGCAAAACTCGCGGAAGCAGCGTTTGAAATTTTCATCCAGGAAGGCATATAGGACGGGGTTAAGGCTGCTATTGGTGTAACCCAGAGCGATGCAGAAGTGCATTGCTGCTACGGCAACCTCGCTGCCCCCTAGGTCCACCTTCCCCAAGGCCTGAATCAGAGCCAAGACCTGAACAGGCATCCAGCAAAGCACGAAGGCAGCCACCACAGCCAGCACCATCTGCGAGATCCTCCTCAGGTTCCTGTCCTTCTCCCTGGAGCCGGAGAGCAGACGCACGCTACGCAGCCGGCGCACCATCAAGCTGTAGCACACACTAATGATGGCCACTGGGATTAAAAAGGAGAAGAGGAACACACAGGTCCCGAATACAGGCTCGGAGTAGCTTTGAGGGTCAGGAAGGACCACCATGCACTCAATATCTGAACAGAGGGGAAAAATATATGAAGAGACTCCAGTGACATAATCAGTATAACCACACCGATATTCCAATAATTCAAAGTAGTGGCTTAAATGAGCCATGAACAAGATCTGTCTTCCCAAAAGCTTCTTAGCACATTGTGGCTATCATTATAACACTTAATTTAATGATTCTTTTGAAGGGGAGCTCCACTGATTTTTAAAAAATTCTGCATAATTCAATCAGTGAACTGTAAACAAAGTCATTCAGAGTGGTTTGATGTGAAATGGTTCCTTGAAGAGAAATTTACCAGCTTGGACCTCTATTTAATGGTGGTGATAGGAACCAGGGGTCGTGATGTCTACAATACAAATATAGCCATTTTATATATTATCCAAAATGATTAGTAAGCACACACATACTTCTGAGTTTTCTTATGTAATGTTCATAATGCTAAAACAGTGGTAAATCTGATAAAATAAGTTTTCGTCCTGCTGGTACCTTTCTGCCATTTTATACCCAACATCTTGTAAATCTCAAAACAACAACAACAACAAAAAAAGTCTACAAAATAAAAAAATTATCTCAAAATTAAAACACATTGTCTCAGACATCAGGCAGTGCATTTATAACCATTTCATGCAATAACTTTCTGTGAGATCGCTTTTAGAGTCAATAAACTCTAGAGACGTCTGGTTCCTATCACCACCACTGTGAACAATTCTGACTCAGTAAGTTTTTCTAGAACAGTGCATTTCACATCAAACCACTCTGAATGACATTTACATCTCAATGACTGAATTATGAAAAATCAATGGAATTCCCCATTAAGTTCAATAATTTTGGAGTATTTCCCTGTGCTCAGAAAGGCACAGAAACTGTTGACTCAGAACAACTTTATAACAGAAGATGAATGCACAAATCATTTCTTTCGTCAAAGGTGTTTGTAAATTAAGCTGCAAAGCTCTAGCACTCAGTGTAGTGGACAGAAGCTTTCATAGGCTCCTGACTCACCGTGCATGAATACTAGAAAACAACATGGAAAGCAAAAGTAAGCAGAACTGCTTTTTTACCATTTTGAAAGTTGAAACAATCTTCATAAGAGCAGCTGTGTTTAGACATTCTCTCATATATATCTTATCCTAAGACCTGTGTTGTTAGAATGTAATAGTTGTAGTTTTCAATTCACAGTCTAGTATTTTAGATGCTTATTGACCATCATCCATCAATTACCCAACAGCTTCTGTTATAAGTGAATTTCAAGTCAATGTGTTTCCTCTTCTTTTCCAAGGAAATGTATTAAAATTATTGTCTGTAGTAATCGATGGTGAGAAGCAGATGCAGATTAAATAATTCAGTGGTTAAAATGTAAACAAAGTCATTCCAAGTGTCTTGATGTGAAACTGTGATTTGTAAAGAAACATACCGATTTCTTTACAGTGGTGGAAACCAGGGGTCACAATGTCTACAACACAAGTACGGCCTTTTTATTTACTGTCCAAAATGACTAATTAAACTTACATGTGTTTTAAAAAATGCATTTCAGACCAAAATCTTGCAAAACTATTGTAGGAGAGTCTCAGGCACCAGACAGAGTATTTGTAATCAATTCATGCAATAACTGTCTGTGTGGCAGCTTTTAGAGGCATTAAGTTCTTCAGACGTCTGGCTCCTGTCACACACCATCATGAACAAGTCTGACTCTGTAAATGTCTCTAGAATGAAGCAAACCACCCTGGATGACTTTGTTTACATCTTTAAAAAATTATTACGCAAATATAATATTTCCCTTTAACATCAGCACATTTAGGAAAACAGATCTTGGCTAATGAGATTGAAGGTTGAAGTTTTGTCTTCAGTGATCAATCCTCTCTCTCAAGTCTGTCAGACTGCTTGTCTTCTAAAGTCACACACAAATACATTAACCACCCCCCCTCCACCCCCAAGAGGCCAGAGCAGAATAGGCAGTAAAAAATGTCAAAGTCACTTTAGCTGAGATGGAAACAGAGATTAATGTGCCCAGACATATTACCAAGTGTATAATGAGGTGAATGAACAGAATGGCGCTTGGTGAATTTCAACATTGTGAGTTGAGTCTGAATGATGGAGTTGAGGCTGAATGATGGTGAAGATTAATATGAGGTCAGGACTACCGTTGGACTCCACTTCCACTTGCCCCATGATCATTACAGGCACTCCTATGGCAGACGCCAGCGCCCATACTGCCACGTTGACCAGCTTGGCCCTGTGTGGCGTTCGTACGGCCAGGGAACGCACCGGGTGGCACACGGCAATATAACGGTCCACACTCATGATGGTCAGAGTGAAGATGCTGGTGAACATGTTGTAATAGTCTATGGCCACCACCGTCTTGCACAGAGCCAGACCAAAGGGCCAGAAGCCGAGCAGGACATCTGTGCCTTGGAAAGGTAGAGTGGCCAGCACTAAGGCATCGGCCAGTGCCAGGTTAAAGATGTAGATGTTAGTGGCCGTCTTCATCTTCGTGTACCTGTAGCAGAAACAAAACCAATGAACAGTCAGCTGAGAGATAAGATTAATTTATAACTTGTCGTATCTAATCTATAACCTATCACACTTCATAATCTATTATATCTCAGCATATATCAAGCATTGCATTAAGTGTACATAACTACAGTCTTTAAAGATAATAGTACCAAAAGAGGTTCCTGTTGCTATAAAATAACCATAATAAAAATGTCTTAATGATCCTGAAGATTAGTCACTTGATGATTAATAACCAGTCAAATCTGAATCCTAAACAGTGTTTCAAATGGAGCCAAAAGCTGGGAAAATTCAACTTCTTTGCCTGATGAGGACTTGTGTGCATATCAAAGCGCACAGTGGCTGACAGCAGTGTAGTTATGGCAAAGTAAACAACTTCTTAACAGCAGATTTATTAAAACTGTTTTTTAAGTGAAGTATATTTTAAAAAGAAACCTTTGATAGAAGAAGGTAAAAACACTCTTTCAATAAGTTGAGGTGGTAGTATCTAGGAGTTCCCTGTGTGCTCTGTTTGTGCAGGGGCTAGGAATGTGAATTGGGGGGCCCTTGGTCTCTTAGGTTCAAATAGATGAGGTCATGTTAAAAAGAACCATATGCTCTGTCTCCTGTTTCAACAACAAGAACCATATATATATGCTGTTGGTCAGTCTGTTCGGGAGGGGACATTTAGAATTGGCACAGATCCTCTCTCAGGTACTCTATAGTGCTTGATATGATACTGTTTTACTATGTAATAAATCTTTTACTGGCAACTCAGTATCGGCGGAGTTTTTCTTCACAACATCTAAACACCATCGCCACTAAATAAACAACATAAGCTTTTATTTTCTGGCAGAAGTTGACTTAGAATCTGTGTGAAATATTAGATTACAGACATAAAATGATCACCAACTGGGAAAAACTGTGGTGAGCATGGAGGTAAGTGTTGGTGACCAACACAAGTAGGAATATGGTCATCCAAACAGTGTTAGCATTTGCTATTTCAATAGTACTGTGGCTTGGTGGCTATGATAGGCAAGAAATGATTCAAGCAACATTTGTGGGGAGGAATAGCCAAAAAACTATGCAGAAAGTGCATAAAACTGATCTTCTGTGAAGTAGGCACTGTAGACATGTTTCTTGCATGGCCTAATGTGGCTCCCATTTGTAGCTACATCCAGAAGCTTTGTAGACCAAATAAATCAATATGTGCTTACTCTGCAGCCTAATAAACGTGCAAATTGCCAGCTGACTAGCCTGCTCGCTGTTAGTGGGTCAGGCAAAACTTAAAAGACTGGTTTTAATGGGGTGAGGCTTTGGTAAAAAGGCCAAAAATCTGCCCTAATTCTGATTAGTTTGATCACTTGACATCAGCGTCTTCCAGTCTAGCCCCCCCAACCCAAATCCAGCCAAGGAACTACAAAAATGCTCATTGACCAATAGGACCCTATAGCTAAAAGCATAAACACATAATCAAAATAGAATGACAGCTTCTTTAACATCCCTTCCTTTTCCTTAACATGCCTTCCTTTTCACCATGTCTTGGTTTGCCTTCTCTGATAAGGTCTTGCAATAACAGTTTTAAGTAGTCTCTACCTGTTTCATCTGAATCAATAAACTGTCCAATTAGTTGAATTGCACCTTATTTCTTTGTTAACTGTGGCTACATGCTCTGCATATTGTCAGGATTCTTCCTCACAAAAGGGTTAAATCAATACAGCTTTCATTTTCAATACTGAGCTGTAAGTCAGAGGCAGGGCTTGTAAGAAATCTCATTATGAATCATTGTGGCGACCTCAATAGGACTTCGCAGTCCCGTTCAAAGGAATCTGAAATTCCATCTTCTACCATAAAGAGCACAGAGCATGGTCAATAAGCAGTGAGGGACACTCAGTGAGAGATGCTTGGTAACCAGCATAGCAACAAGGGGTTTAAAATAGGCCTACAGCAGCTATATTGCTGCTGTCTAGTCTGTCAGCAGTGGCCACCTGTATAAACGTATGAATGCTCACGTTCTGTCACACACTTTTTCAAATTTGGCACAAAAAGATACAGTTATCCATTCTTCCTTCACATTTTACACATTCCAGAACCTTCTTCCCTCAGTGCTAGAACACTCAGTGCTGGCTGTGCTGCAGTATTTCTATTTTCTGAAACATAATTACGAAGCAATTATACAAGTGCATTAGGCAAGGCTGAGATTCTTTCTTAATTATATGCTTAATCAGACCGGAGCAAGGGAAGTAAGAGAAAGTCACTGGTTGTTCATGTTACAAGAATGAGGGGAAGTAAACTTGGTGGGAAGCGGTCTCTCTCAGACCTATCACGCAACCCCTCGGACTTAACGTTTCTATGTCTCTATAGCAACACACAGCATTTATCTGGCTGCCAGCTTTCCCTCTTGAGAAAGGGCCTTTGCATTAATAGTAATAGACAAACTATTAACACTAAACCACCAATTAGTTAGTATAAAACTATCAATGCTTCTGTTATTGCTTCAACAAACTCAAACTCTCTGCATCTTCTAAAAAATAGAAGCTCTTTAAAGGTTCCTGGTTTGGACAAATGTGACAAAAATGGTTCTTCAAAGCCATAGAACAACCCCTTTTTGTTCTGTACTTCACAATAAGTGATTATTTAAAAACTTTAAAAACTCAACTGAAATGTAATTGAAAGGTTGTATACTCTTAATAAAGAGAAGGAGGGTTCTATATAGCACAAAAAAGGAAGAATGTGCTGTAAACTGTTCTATATAGAACGTCTACTCAGTGTCTGATTCAAGAAAGTGGAGGTAATATCAGTACATCCACACACCTAAAAAGATGGTTCTTCAGGTGTTCCTTAATAAAGGAAATGGTTCTATATAGAACCATTTCCATGCTTAATAGCTCTTTCCATGGTGAAATGATCCTTCAGACTAATGAAGAATGTGTGTTGTAAATGTTGTATATGTTCTGTATAGAACCTAATTGATAAGGGTTCTATAGGGCACCAAAAGGGGTTCTTCTATTGTTACGATGTCAGGCTTGTTACAATAGCAGAACCTTTTTGGTGATATATAGAACCCTTTTTAAAAAAAAGTTCAATGTATAACTATCTACAGCACATTCTCCATTAATCTGAAGGACAATTTCACGATGCAAAGAGCACTTAAATCATGCAAAGGGTTCTTTAAGTGTGTATGGTTCTATACAGAACCATTTTCTTTACTAAAGAACTCTTGAAGAAATATCATTTTAAGTGTGTAGAAATGGTCCACTAATAAGCTCTGTTTACTTGAGCAACCTTTTAATGCAGTAATAGTCTGTTTTAATAAACTTTTCTCTGGTCTAATGCTTTGGCCTAATGTGGCTCCTATTTGTAGCTACATCCAGTCTGGTGAAGCTTTGTAGACTAAACAAATCACTATGTGCTTACTCTGCAGCCTAATAAACATGCAAGCTAGCATTCTGGGAAGAGCAACTGTTTTATTTTGTGAGCTGGAGAATTGCGTATATATATCATTAGACACCCGACATAGAGATGGTAGTGCTGTCATTAAGAGTCTCTCTCTCTCTCTCTCTCTCTCTCTCTCTCTCTCTCTCCTCTCCCTCTCTCTCTCTCCCTCCTCTCCTCTCCTCTCCCTCTCTCTCTCTCTTTCTCTCTCTCTCTCTCTCTCTCTCTCTCTCTCTCTCTCTCTCTCTCTCTCTCCCCCCCCTCTCTCTCTCGCAACAGCTAAAATGTATTACCACCTGCCAATATGTCAACACCCCTGGTCTAAGTGAAAGAGGGCAGGATAATTTAAAAGTATTGATTGCCAAAGGGACCTTGTGTTGGAAAAGTGCACTTTCAGTCTCCATTGCTGGCTTGAACGACATCACCTGTGGTCTAATACCTCTCAGCCGTAGTACCTTTTAGAACAACACTACACGCTTCTGCTTGTCTTATTACAAGCCAATGCTTTATATCCTCTGCACTGAAAAAGTGATGCATCGCATCTATTTGATTTGAATGTGTACATCATTCCTACATGAATAAAATACATTTCATCATCATAGTGATTGATAAAAGATTGGATGAAAGTGATTGGTGTTGATGTAATATGTTTTATTCATATGCAAATGATGTTAAACTTTGAATCATGTAAATACATTAGTTTTCTGAGTGTGTGTGTGCACAGTGGTCTCCTTTGCCTATTCTCATTTCTCTCACATCTCTCACTTTTTCACCCACCACACACACATCTATTCATATATATACCATTCTACTGAATCCGTTTAAACTGTAGTCCCACAGTAAAAACTACTTAAAAATAAATTAAATATTCAGACCTGAGATACACTATATGGACAAAAGTATTGGGACACACCTCTTAATCATTGAATTCCGGTGTTTCATTGAGTTCTATTGCCACCGCTGTATACAATCAAGCACTTCTAGGCTGTTCTGAAGAGCTAACTGAATTCGAGTGTGGTGCTGTAATAAGTTGCCACCATTGCAACAAATCAGTTTGTGAAATTTCTTCCCTCCTAGATATTCCATGATCAACTGCGAGTGGTATTTTTTAAAAGAGTGGAAGCATTTAGGAACCACAGCAACTCAACCATGAAGTGTCAGACCACGTAAAGTTACAGAGCGGGTCAGCAAGTGCTGAGGAACATAGTGCATAAAAGTCACCAACGCTCTGCTGACTCAGTAACTGCAGAATTCCAAACCTCCTCTGGCATTAACATCAGCACAGAAACTGTGCGCCTGGAGCTTCATAGCATGGGTTTCCATGGCTGAGCAGCTGCATGCAAGCCTTACATCACCAAGCGCAATGCCAAGTGTCAGATGGAGTGGTGTAAAGTATGCTGCCACTGGACTCTGGAGCAGTGGAAACATGTTTTGTGGAGTGACGAATCTCGTTTAACTGTCTGTCAGTCTGATGGATGAGTCTGGGTTTGGCAAATGCCAGGAGAACATTATCTGCCTGACTGCACTGTGCCAACTGTAAACTTTGGTGGAGGAGGCATAATGCGATAGTGCGATGTTTTTCAGGGGTTGGCCCCTTAGTTCCAGTGAAAGGAAATCTTAATGCTTCAGCAAACCAAGACATTGTGGACATTTGTATGCCTGCAGCTTTGTAAGAGCAGTTTGGGGAAGACCCTTTTCTGTTCCAGCATGACTGTGCTCCAGTGCACAAAGCAAAGGTCCATAAAGGCATGGCTGAGTGAGTTTGGTGTGGAAGAACTTGACTAGCCCACACAGAGCCCTGACCTCAACCCCATCAATTACCTTTGTGATGAACTAGAACGGAGATTGTGAGCCAGGCCCTCTCGTCCAACATCAGTGTCTGACCTCACAAATACTCTTCTGGGTGAATGGGCAAAAATTCCCACAGACACACTCCAAAATCTTAACGCCTATTGGTTGAGAATGGGCTGTCATAAAAGCTCCTGTAGGTGCAATGTGTAGATGTCCCAATACTTTTGTCCATATAATGTATTTGCAAGGATTATGTTATGATGTACTTAAATATAAGGCATTCATAGAGATAGTTATATGTTAAATATATACAAAATCTTCAATTATAGAGTTCTTTCTATTGGGAGCTGTCTGTTCCAAACCCAAACCAAACCCAAACCCCTAAATTTACACTTGAAAAAATAATACTTAATACTTTTTTTTGGATTTTTCATATTTTTTAGATCTTTTTGATTTATTTTAAAGTGAAGTTGAAAGATTTAGATTTATCATGAGTTTAATTTTTGAATAAAAAACTCATCAAAAAATGTTGTCCCCAATGTTGTTTTCATGTCACTATTGAAACACTGAGTTTTAGTCTGTAGCCTTATTTTAGCCACACTGCTGCGTTTTAGATCAGAAAGTGAGGCTGCATCTCTGTCCCTCATGATCACATTGTGAGCAGTTACATCCCATTGTTTTGAAGTACATGTCCTAAAGCCTGAAAATCAGTGTGGAACATCAAGAACTGTCACTACTGAATCACACATTTTCTGCAAACATGTAAACTTTCTGTGTTTTACTAGTCATGTACTGCCTAGCATTTTTGAGTCCTTCTCAAAATGAGCTAAAATTGCCACTGCCGAAACAGTCATTGCTGAAACATTTGATAAAGTTTGATAATGTTAGCATTATGACAGTTTTAGCAGTGACAAAACAGAAAGTTGAATCATTTTATTTTAATAAAATTAAGATTATCAAGGCATAAGTAAAGTAAACTAAAAGGATTTTCAGAAAAGGGGTTTTAATCCAAGTCAGTTAAATATCCAAAAGTTTTGAACTGAATATTAACCAATTTGGTAGAACGATCCATATTGGACTATTCAGAAATCAGGAGCCTTCATTTTCTAGTCAAAACAGGCATTAAATTATTCACTGTTTAGGAGATATTTTTGATGAGACTGGACATTAAATAATCCACTTGCATAAGGAAGCGGAAAGTCAAAAAGCAGAAAGGAAAATAAATGAAAATTTTTAAAAGTTATAGAAAAAATGGGACTCCTCACATCCACGTAAGACCTGGTGGACCACCAAAACTGTCACCATCAAATAAACAGTACTTAAAGCTTTCATCTTTGAGAGAGATCAGAGAAAATCTACAGGAGTTTCAGTCCATCCTTCCACTGTGAGAAGACAGCTCAACACTATGGGTCTGAAAGGATGTGCAGCTGTCAAGAAGCCCTTACTGAGAAAAGGATTTGGACAAAGAGAAGAAAATCTGCAATTCAAACAAAGAAGTCGCTGGCAGATGTGTTGGCTGGGCCTGTAAAGATCTGGGGCTCAGCCCAGTTCACTGTAGAATTGTTTTAAATATCATCCCCCAGAATTTTTAATCAACCTGTAAAATGTGCAGTTACTTTTTATGTAATATGAGGATTCACACATCAACAAAAGGTGCAGTGATTCAGCAAAGTTGACGGAGTCATATGAACAAAACAATTAACAAACAAGCAAACCACTGTAACAGAAATTGGAAATGCTCTTTTCTGGTTTGGTAATGTGCTCTGAGATCTTACACCTTTCCTGTTTTGTCTTCTTTTTAAAAAATGAGTCACAATTCACTCTTTCCACTAATCCCTTGCGAAACTGGACAAGTTTTTTTTCAGATTCACAAGAATACTCTGGAATATTGTAAAGTTTTTCAGAGGTACTCCAGGCATAGTTATAGTTGCTAGGTTACAAAGGACCAACTGTGTGACTAATTTATTACTAGACAGAAGCTCACGGATTGTGAAGCAGCTGAACAATGACCTTTCCTTGAATTTGTATTTAAGCCTCTATTTTTCCCTAATAAACAGCACAACTTTATCATTTTCATAAGTTTATTTTCAGGGACACCCCAGAATTTTGGTTTTGAGACACTGAGGGGGTCCAGAGTTTATGACGCAGGTCCCTAACCCCCCAGGACCCCCAGTATTCCTCACTTTGGCATTCCATCTGGGTAATTTTGTGAGTGTCCTGATAAACACGGTTAGAAGTCTGCATCCCTGCGGCCTGAAAAAATATTGAGTAAACATTTCTTCACATGCAGCATTAAGTTCAGGTTAGGCTGGTTTTCAAATAAGTGATATTTTAAGTACACTGTACCAACTAATGTGATCTGTTATTACAACATCTTTTGAATTTTGAAACAGACAGTTTACTTTCTTTAGAAGTTAAAATTATGTTTTTCAATGGAGTAGATTTCTTTCTCTCTCTCTCTCTCTCTCTCTCTCTCTCTCTCTACACTCTAGGAAACTTACTGGGGCAGTAACCCTCTTGTTACTGGGGTGGTACCAACAAGGGTACATCTCAGTACCTTCAGTTCAGAACATAATTGTATCATAATCCACTGAAATTACATGTTGTAAGTTGTATTGACTCCACACACCCCGTCTCATCTCCAGGCTTTTTATTTTATTGTTCTGTTTTAAAACATTGGGTTATGAAAAGATACAAATATTTTATCTTTAAAAATATATATATTTAAGGTACACAGTTGGACCTTAAAACCGCTGTTTTACCTTTGAGGGACCATTTACAGTGTTTGTACCTTGATAAACGAAAAATGTAAATGTAACAGTATGTCATGTCTCTCTCTCTCTCTCTTTCTCTCTCTCTCATTATCGTGTCTCACTCTCTCTCTCTGTTGCGTCTCTCTCTCTCTCTCTCTCTCTCTCTCTCTCTCTCTGTCTCTCTCTGTCTGAGTTAGAGTGGAGGTGGGTGAATGTGACCCTGAATAAAGCCATGGATGATGAGAGTGGTGTGTAATGGGGAGTGAGATCTGTGACATGGTGACATTATAAGGTCTGGATCCCATTAAAAAGCCCAGGCAGGCGACGCCCTCCTGCTGCTGTTCTCTCTCCTCAGCATCACTGAATGTGTTTGGAATCAGTTGGTCTGTGAGAAGAAGTTGAGGAAAAACATCCCTGCAGAATTCTTTGAAAAACTGAAGCCAAATCTCCCAGGAATAGAAGCTAACACACAATGGACACACTGAATACTGAACAATGTCTGTGTGTCTCCTGCTTTTTTCCCGATGCTGAAAGATAAAAATTTGGTACTCAAAGGCCGTTTTGACTGTAATAACTGAAGGGTGGTCTCTGACTTCTGCACAGCGCTGTCTAAACACATATTTACTGCACTTTAAAACTTTAAAACAGGCAATTTCTCACCTGATGATGACATACATGACCAGGCAGTTTCCCACCAGCCCCACCACGCACACGATTAAATACACCACCGCTACAGTGATCTTCACGCTGATGGGCAGAAGTCCGTCCGTGTCGTCCAGAGCGCTGATGTTACCCTGGAGTAGCGACTCGTTGAGCAGCCGGAGTGCTATCGTGTCTGGAACCCCCGCCAGGTTCTCAGGTAGCTCCATGATGAAGAGCGCCTGCAGCAGGACGGTCAGAAACACGGACACAAGCGCTAATGTAACGCTGCTGTTTCAGCCTCCCGACCGAGCACAACGCGCTCCCGGCGCTGTGATGTTCAGGAACTCACGGAGTGCGCCCAGCGCTCCTCCTCAGTCCCACAGCCCTCCTCCCCCTCAGCTGCGCTCGCTCAGTCAGCGGGATGAAGCGGTTAAAAAGCGCCGGGGATCATCGAGTCGAAACCACTCGAGAGTTTCTGTTCGACAAGTTGATTTTCTGTCTAGTTCGCTGGAATGAAGGCGGTCCATGCAGCCCCTCCGGTGGCTGTTACTGGAGTCAGCACAGCGCCCGCGTGCTCCAGGAGCAGTGCGTGTGTGTGTGTGTGTGTGTGTGTGTGTGTGTGTGTGTGTGTGTGTGGACCATGTTTATGCTACGCTGAAGGGACCAATACCTGTTCATACACTCACGTTGTGGGGACTTTTCATCTATTTTGGGACCAGCTTATGGTAAATCATTACATTTTTAATATTAAGGTGAGGGTAAGGTTAGGGTTAAGGTGACGGTAAGGTTAGGGTTAGGGTTACGGTTAGGGTTAGATTAGTAGTTCTGGTTAACGTTTGGGTAAGTCTCCAGGAAATGAATGGAAGTCTATGTAATATCCCCACAATTAATAAAAAACAAGATTAGGTGTGTGTATATGTGTTTGCTCTTGTCTTACTATACTTGTGAGGACCACATGTTTTTGAGCATGTGTTGGTTTCACTATAAATTACATTTGGTAAAAAACTAAAAGAGCAGAATAATTGCCTTTTGGATACCGAGGTTAAGGTTGGGTTAAGGTGTAGGTGTAGCATGTTTTGGTGACAGTAATACTAAAATCAATAGAAACCCATGGAAGTCCTCGTAAGTATAGCAAGACAAACATATGTGTTTATACATTTTCAGTTAAAAACGATCTGACATTATAGGAAAACCAGAACAGAACTGGGTTAAAGCAGGCTACAATACAAGCTACACACTTAAAAAAAGATTGTTCTCCAAGGGTTCTTTAGTAAAGGGAATGGTTCTATTTAGAACCATGAGTTCTATCTAGAACCATTTCATGCTTAAATGGTTCTTTCCATGGTGAAATTGTTGCTTAGACTGATGGAGAATTTGTTGTGTTTGGTTCTATAAAGAACCTTTTTGAAAATGATTTAATATAGCACCAACAAGGGTTCTGTTACTGTGACAATGTCAAGCTTGCAACAATACAAGAACCACTTTGGTGGCTTTCAAAAAGGTTCTATATAGAACCATATACAATGCATTCTCCATCAATCTGAAGAATCATTTCACCCTGCAAAGAACCAGTTAAGCATTAAAATGGTTCTGTATAGAACTCTAAAGCTACATGTTTCGTTTTTATTCTTTTAGGTTGTACATATGGAGAATATTATTAGCACTCACATACAGTACTGTGCAGAATGAAAGACTACCCTTCATATTTTTAATTTCCGGCCATTAAGTCCAAGTCATTATACTTAATGGCAAGATTAAGTGGAGATTAGATATTCAATAATCCACTTGCCTAAGCGGAAAGGCAAAGAAAAAAGGGCTCCTAATAACTGGGCAAGTCCTGGTCATCCACTATAGCTGTCACCAACGTTCATCTTTGAGAGAGAGGAGAAAATTAAGCTCCCCTCTTGCATCAGATATGACAAATCCACAGGTGTTTCTGTCCATCCTTCCACTCTGAGAAGACAACTTAACACTATGAGTCTGAAAGGACGTGTTGCTGTCAAGAAGCCCTTACTGAGAAAAGGAAACAGACAAAAGAAAGAAGAAAGTCTCCTGAATAGAATCAAAAACACACTAAATGCTGAAGAAAATAATACTGTATTTAGTTGTGGAAGCTTCTGCATAATTTCCATGCTACATATATGTTTTCTGTTCTTTTCCTGATGTTGAAAAATGAATAATGTACACTTAATTGCTGTATTGCCTGGAAATTAAATAAATGAAGGGCAGTCTCTGACTTTTGCAAAGCACTCTATATATTCAGTGTACTTCAATGGCTTTTCCAGTCATCAGATCTGAATCCATAGAGCACCTTTGGGATGTGGTAGAACGGGAGACTTTCAACATGAATGTGCAGCTGACAAATATGCAGCAACTAAATAATGCAGTGCATCTCTAAGGAATGTTTTCAGTGCATTGTTGAATCAATGCCACAAAGAATTCAGGCTGTTCTGTAACGAAGGGGTCCTACTCAGTATTAGAATGGTGTTCATAATAAAGTAGCTGGTGAGTATATCACTGTTGTCAGAAGAAAACCTTGTATTTCCAAAATGGTCACTTTACAGGAGAAGGAAAAAACCTACTTTACTTTTAATGTAAATCAATAGAGCCAGACCTTTTTTCCAAGTCATTTTGGGCCATTTCTTTTGGTCCATTTCTCATGAAATCTACACACAATGTAAAGGGCAACAGGTATTTTCAGATTATCTTGAAAAATTAAAAACAACAAAATGGAGATACAAGGTTTTCTTCCAACAGCAGCAATATGGACTGTACTGGAGGAGTGGAACATTACTTTTCCAGAAGATATTCCCCAGGTTGTCTCATGTTTTGATCATGGTGATCATGATAAACTCATTGGTCAAAAAAATCCCCTACAGGTGTTCAACTAGGTTGAGATTTGGTGACTGTGAAGGCCATAGCATAAGATTTTCATACTCATCAAACCAGTTAGTGTCCCCTCATGCTCTGTGGATGGAGGCGTAGTCAGTCTGAGAGAGACCACTCCCACTGTGATAGAAATGCTTTGTTATGGGATAAAGGTGATCAGTCAGAATAACTTGTATTGATTTGCAGCTACCCTTTCCTCAAGGGAGGCAAGTGAACCCAAACCATTTCATCAAAATGCCTGCCATTGCATAACAGAGGCACTGGACATTAATTCAGGCGTGTATGGTTCTATTTGTGTACATCACACACGCACTGACCCACTTGTGGAGAATATGTTGAAGGATGATTCATGTGACCATATCACTTTTTTCCATATCTCTAAGCAGTGCCTTTGGTGTTTGTCTATGTTTGTCTTTGTACACTGTAAAACATAATAATTGCACTAATGTTTGTTTTACTCCATGGATGAATGCGGAAATGCGGAAATACACCAGCTTAAGAGAAATTGTCGTAAATCAGAGCACTTATGGAGGAAAACTAAACTGCAGGTACACTATGATATTCTCAAAGAGCAGATCTCAGTCTATAATAATGCTATGAAAATATCCAGACCGTCATATCTCTCTAGTGTAATCAATAGACACAAAAATAATACCAAAATCTTTTTTTCCACTATAGACCGACTAATTAACCCTAACTTCTCTGCTAGTGCGTTTAATGATGATTTATCTTCTAATATCTGTGAAGAGTTCGCAATTCATTTCCAAAATAAAATAGACCTGATACGAGAGGGTGTAGCTCAGCAGACGCAAACAAGCTCCTATAATGTTCCTGATAGGTCACCTACATCAGTAATGACATCTTTCTCTGTTATCAACTATGAGGAGCTCACAACTATATAAAAAAAAAAAAATGTGATCTTGACCCTGGTCCTACTTCATTCCTTAAGATGGTTTTTGATTGTTTAATTGTTCTCTGTCAACAGGTGTTTTTCCAGATGCTTTCAAAACTGCCCTGGTGAAGCCTCTTCTAAAAAAGAGTAGCATGGATCCTTCCATACTAAATAATTTTAGACTGATTTGAAACCTACCTTTTCTAAGTAAAGTCTTAGAAAAAGTTGCTTTCAAACAACTAAATACATGTCTAATATCAAACAATTTATATGAGAAGTTTCAGTCAGGTTCTCGTTCTAACCATAGTACAGAGACAGCATTGATACGCGTTAGGAATGACCTCAGGCTCAGCGCTGATGCACAGAATCCTTCTATTTTGGTTTTATTAGATCTTAGTGCAGCCTTTGATAACGTTGACCACAAGATTTTTACTCCAGCGTCTTGAATACTGGGTCGGCCTCTCAGGCACAGTTTTAGAATGGTTTAAATCATATTTAAGTAATAGGCAGTTCATGGTTTCACTTGGAAATCATTCATCAAAACCATTTGCCATTTCTTGTGGAGTCCCCCAAGGTTCAGTCTTAGGGCCTTTGCTTTTCTCTTTGTGCATGCTACCTCTAGGTGATGTTATCACTCCCGTTTTGAAAGAACTGCACTGGCTGCCTGTATCATTCAGGATAGATTTCAAGGTTCTGCTACTAGTCTTTAAAGCTCAAAACAACCTAGCACCTGCTTACATCACAGAGTGTCTATCTGTTTATGTTCCGGCACGTAATCTAAGATCTGCAGATAGTGGCCTTCTACAGATACCCTCTGTAAAATACAAAAAACATGGAGAGGCCTCTTTCAGTTGTTATGCTTCTCAAACTGTGGAACTCAATTCCACCTTTTATTAGACAGTCAAGCTCAGTGCTCACTTTTAAGAAGCACTTAAAAACGTATCTCTTTAAATTAGCATTTAACTAAAACTGAATGTCTCATGGTGTTTGTCTTGTAATTTAATCTTCTGCATTTTCTTCTGATTCTAATGAAGTACTAATGATCTTTTCTATAACTATGTTTTATCACCTGTCTGTAAAGCACTTTGAGCTGCCACTGGCATGAAAAGTGCTATATAAATAAAATTATTATTATTATTAAATTATTATTATTATTATTATTATTATTATTACTTTAATCAACTGTTTGACTTAGTAATGCAAATGTAGCAACATATTTCTATTTCTTATATAAGAACTTGTAATAATCCTGCAAGTTACTGAATTAATTAGTTCAGTTTTGTTGGTTTCTTTTAATAAACTCTTCATTTTTCATTAGTTTTCTTCGCATTGTGTTATTTTTGTGCCGCAGCATGTTCTCATGCTAAAATGTCACCATGATGGTGTTTTGTATTCAGGTTTGTCAGTTCAGCCTCTAGCAAGGAATGCTATCCATTGGTAAATACCAGTCCTAAGCAGTTTCTGAACAGAATGGCAAAGATGCTTGAAGACATTAAAATCCTCAGAAATGCTTTACTCTTATTCATTTCTTCATTACTGCATGAAGAAATGGTAAAGACAAAATAGGGCAATTGAATATGCAGCCATTTGTTCATTACTGTATGAAACAGTCCATTTAAAATAATAGCATTGTTTCACAGTTG